CATACTGAATCAAGATTTCCAGAAGAAAGTCCTGGCAATTTGGATATTTAAGAAGTGCTCTAGGTTATCAAGCAATTTGGACTCAATGACCCAGGTATTATATCTCTAAGTGTGAGTTTGTGGACTGGCAGTTGCCACCTCACTTGGGAGCTCATCAAGACAGGCAGAATCTCTGGTCCCGTCCAAGGCTATTGAATCAGAAGCTGCGTTTTATTTAGCAAGGCCCCCAGGCAACTGCTGTGCACGTTTACAGTTGAAGGGCTAGTGGAGTGTGGTGATAGGAACATGTTTGGTGCTCTGTGCAGGGCCTTGCTCTAAGAACACCTGATGCTGTGCACAGTGGCGCATCCCACCGGTCCCATGTGGCTTTTTGTGATAGCCTTTGTTTGATAATGTTTTTATTATTCACTTTGTACAGATGAGGACTTCTAGCTGTAGAGGCTGAAGGGGCCACGTTGCCAGGTAGAGCAGGCATTCACCAAGGCGTGTGTCATCATGGGTGCAGCTCCCATCCTTGGCTGCCTGGGCGCTCCTTTCCAGTCCTAATGTCTTGTGACATCCCCTAAGGCATCCAGCACAGGCTGCTGTCTGAACTTAGAACTGAGCCTGTTCAATTGATGGCTTAACGTAGGCCTCTTAAAATACAAGTCTGATGTGGTTTGGTACATCTGTGATTGGTTTACTTATTTGGTGTTCCTTTTTTCAGTCTTCAGAAAGGTTGGTTGAAGCGCTGCTGGTGGCTGTTGCATTGATACACAGGGAAGCTTTTTGATCTGTGAGCTTTCTAGAGGGCAGTTGCTAAGTTGCACCGAAACCCTGAGCCCCTTTCTTTTGGAGCAATGTAGAGCCCAGTTCATGGCTCCCAGAAGTTTAGGTTCAGTAATTTGGCTGCAGGCCTAGAGAACAGGAAGCTGCAGACTTGGACTAATGGTGAACTCTTGTCTCCTCCCAGGGATATGTGGTGCCTGTCATAAGCTCCAGAGAGCTGCCTTCCACGGAAACCAGCAGAAGAGTGGGCAAACATGAAGTCCAATCCCGCTATCCAGGCTGCCATTGACCTCACAGCGGGGGCTGCAGGTACAGTCATGTGCCACATAACCATGTTTCTGTCAGTGATGGACAGCATATCTGATGGTGGTCCCATGAGATTATACCAGCATATTTTTACTATACCTTTTCCGTGTTTAGAGACTTTTAGATACACAAATACCACTGTGTTACAGTTGCTTACAGTATCCAGTACAGTAACATGCTGTGCAGGTATATAGCCTAGAAGCAGCAGGCCACACCGTTCAGCCTAGGTGTGGAGTAGGCTATGCCATCTAGGGTCGGTATGTATGCTCTATGATAGCACAATAACAAAATTGTGCAACGACGCAGTTTTCAGAACATGTCCTGATCATTAAGCAACGCCTAACTATAATCCCAGAGAAAACCCAGTCTTCTCCATTCCTCAGGCACCTTCTAAATGAGATCAAATGAAAGTGGTATGAAAATATTACCTTTCTCCCTCCAGAAGCGATGTGCTTTACCTTTGGGATGAATGCATTTGATGGAAGTATAATATTGTTCAGAGCGTGGCAGAAGGTGGAGGCAGAACGTGTCCATTATTGTTAATACCTTCTGAGTCAGGGTGAGGGGTGGAATGTGCCCACTACAGCTGGAAAACAGCTCAGAGGTGAAGCCCCTTGTCCACTGTCACCTGGCTGGGATGTGCAGGTGGCGTGGTTCTTCACTTCAAGCCTGGCAGTCTTCAGAGCCCTTGTAGTGCAAAAATAACACCATGGCGTCTCCTGGAAACACCACTTACTGTCACTGCTAGTGTTGGGAAAGAAAGGACACTCTTTAGAAACATCTTTAAAAATGAGACTGATAATGGACTGTGTCTTAGAGCCATGAAAGGAGAGGAGAAGTTGTAGGATTTGCTGGGAATGTCAGCTAACCTGAGCCTAGGGCCTGAGTCCAAGGGCAGGCTAAGGCCCCCCCGGCACAGGGAGGTGCTGCCTGGGACAAGGGGGTAGTGCTGGCACTGTGCAGGCTACTCCTTAGATCAGCTTAAGGCTGGGCACAGTGGCTCACCCCTGTAATCCCTGTACTTTGGGAGGCCGAGGTGGGTGGATCATGAGGTCAAGAGTTCAAGACCAGCCTGGTCAAGATGGTGAAACCCCACTTCTATGAAAAATACAAAAATTAGTCGGGCGCGGTGGCAGGCATCTGTAATCCCAGCTACTTGGGAGGCGGAGGCAGGAGAATCATTTGAACCCGCTCGGCAGATTGCAGTGAGCGGAGATTACGCCACTGCACTGCGGCCTGGGCAGCAGAGTGAGACTCTGTCTCAAAAAAGAAAAAATAAGATCAGCTTGAACATGCAGGAAGAGCAAGACCCTCAGGCTGAGGCGTGTGGTGGAATGGGAAGTGCATGGTGGTAATTTAGTTCTCCAAAGTCCAGAAGCAGGAAGAGTGGCTGGAATGCTGATTGCCCAGAGGGAAACCCTGGACTACCCTGGCCTCCTAGATCTCATAGTAGTTGCAGCTCCCTGGAGTAGGGAGGCAAGAGGAGGTGTTGCCTAGTGCTCTCCCTGTCCAACATACCTCCCCACTGACCACCAACAGATGAGTATGGTCACGAGTGTGGTCACCTCATCAGTCATTTGCTCAGTTGTGAAAAAGAAATTGTTCAGAGAAGTGCCAAGTGTTTTTCCATGAGCCAAAGGTCAGCCAAGGTATGCTAATGAGGAAGATTGGAGAGAACTCATCCTAGTCGCTGATAAGGAGCCCTGGGTAAGAGCACTTCTCCCAGGGCAGAGCCCGCAAGGAGCGTCCGGACCCCAGACACTCAGGGAACTGAAGGCTGGCAGGGGTCCGCCCAGTAGTCTCTAGTCCACTGCATGCCTTTAGGCTACAGCCTCCCAGGCCCCTCCGCCCTCCCCCATGCCACACTGGGGAGGACGCTGACCCTGAGAATGGTGCAACCATCTGCCTGCCCCTGGCTGCTTCTCGCCAGCACATGAATGCTCTTTGAGCTCAGTTCTATGTCTGCAGTAGGAGGGTGTTTAGCCACATGAGAGAGTCTCACTTTTTGACATTTTATGTCTTTTTAGTCAGTCTGTCAAAGATCTAGAACCTATTGTGATAGAATTAAAAAGTTTATCTTTGGCTGGGCAACGGTGGCTCATGCCTGTAATCCCAGCACTGGGAGGCCGAGGTGGGTGGATCACTTGAGCTCAGGAGTTCAAAACCAGCCTGGCCAACATGGTGAAACCCCGTCTCTACTAAAAATACAAAAATTAGCCAGGCGTGGTGGCACATACCTATAACCCCAGCTACTCTGGAGGCTGAGGCAGGAGAATGGCATGAACCCAGAAGGCAGAGGTTGAAGTGAGCCAGGATTGCACCATTGCACTCTGGCCTGGGTGACAGATCAAGAATCCACTAGGAAAAAAAAAAGTTTATATTTTCCCATTTATGTGCATACAGGTATTTGGGTACCACATTTAGAATTTACACTTAGTTTGAAAGATAGAAATTGCCACAGGATGGTTGTGGGCCTGGTATTTGCTGGTGGGCAAGTTTTGAACATGTATTGGGCCCTTATATGTACTGACACTGTCCCCATCACTGTTGGACTGGTATTTCTCCCTGTGCTGGCGACACAGGGATGCCTCTCACCGAGGTAGAGCTGCTGTGGGTAGTCTAACCTCTGAGGACAACAAAGCCCTTTCCTTGTGGGGTAGGATGGGGAGGGGGAGCGAGACATGATCTATAGGTTGGCGCTGGGCAGAGGAGGTCCCTATCAGTGACAGACACCAAAACCTCTGTTCCACTGTGAGCTTCACGGAATGCAAATGAAAGTAGATTCCCACTTTTGAGGGTCTTGGAGTCTTTGAATGCTGGAGCTAGAGAGGGGCTTTAAAAGACCTTGATGGCTTGAATGCTCATTGGATATGTAGAAAAAGGCCCAGAGAGGGGCAGTTGATTTGTTCAAGGTTCCACAGCAAGATGGTGTGAAGACAGGGCAGGACTGTGGTCCCTGGGTCCCTTGTCTGGTGTTGTTACTCTTAATGTCCCTTTCCCTAATTCCACTTTCTAGAGTTTAGATGGAATAACTATGTATAGTGTCAAAGTCAGGAAGTTGACCTCTTAAATATTTTCTGTAAGCCTTCTTTTGCATTTTGATGAAGCGTTAAAAGCTCCTCTTGGGTTCAGGGGGAGATGGTAAGTGCTAACCACTGGCACTTCCCATGACGCTGACCCTGTTGCAGGGTCTGGGGATATTGTAGGGTGGTTACAGTTCGTTCCTTTTCTTCCGTTTAGAATTTTTATTGAAATGATTTCATGTGGCTGGCCATGGTGGCTGACGCCTGTAATCCCAGCATTTTGGGAGGCCGAGGCAGGAGGATATTTGAGGCTAGGGGTTCAAGACCAGCCTGGCCAACATGGTGAAACCCCATCTCTATGAAAAGCACAAAAATTAGCCAGGCATGGTGGTGGATGCCTATAATTCCAGCTACTTGGGAAGCTAAGGCACAGGAATTGCTTGAACCTGGGAAGCTGAGGTTGCAGTGAGCTGAGATTGTACTGCTGCACTCCAGCCTGGGCAACAGAGTGAGACTTCATCTCAAAAAAAAAAAAAAAAAAAGAAAAGAAATGATTCTGTGCAATGTAGACTTTGCTGTATTTAATATTCTCTCTCTCTCTCTTTTTTTTCTTTTTGAGACGTAGTTTCACTCTTGTTGTCTAGGCTGGAGTGCAATGGCATGATCTCGGCTCACTGCAACCTCCGGCTCCTGAGTTCAAGTGATTTTCCTGCCTCAGCCTCCCGAGTAGCTGGGATTACAGGCATGTACCACCACGCCCGGCTAATTTTGTATTTTTGGTACAGACAGGGTTTCTCCATGTTGGTCAGGCGGTCTTGAACTCCTGACCTCAGGTGATCCGCCTGCCTCAGCCTCCCAGAGTGCTGGGATTGCAAGCATGAGCCAACCGCTCCTGGTCTTAATATCCTTATAAAAGTATATAAATAAAGGATTTAAACTAAGAATAAATAAATTTCAGTCCATTCTCTATCTAAATACATGTTATTAATTGGTAGAGTTCAAATGAGATTTTTCTGTAGAGTGAAATATTTCGCTCTTTGGGGATTAATTAGCCAGACTCCTTGTTTCCTTTCCATGGTGCGGGGTCTGATCAGTCCCGCTGGGCATTAGGCAGAGTGAGTGATGAAGATTTCCCAGGTTTCCCCTCCCTTTCTGTGGCTTCCGTCTCTTGCACACACAGTAACTGTTGGTTATTAACCACTTATGTAGCTGGCGCTGTGCTAAGCCTGTCTTCTCCATTTTTATTTAATCCTCGCGCTAACCCTGTGAGGTGGCATGGATGAAGAACTGAGGCTCAGAAGTTACACGGCTTGTCAGGATCTCGCAGCAAAGCCATAGTTCCTCTGACGCTCTTGCCCAGGCTCCTGCATGCTCACTGCACTGTTGCATCCTGGGCCTGCCTCTCTCCCCTGCCTGGCAGGAGCTCTTTCAGGGTGGGATTTAGGTGCCAGGCACATTAAGGACCTGCTATACATTGTTTACTGGACATGGCTGGAAGGTTTTGGAGGAAAAGAGGTTGAAAAGAACTGAAGCAGAGGTAAGTTTTAGGGCCTGTGCGTTCTTTCCATGGATAATGAAACCAGAGCCTCATACTAGAGCAGTCTTCTGTCCTGATTCCAGGGGGCACAGCATGTGTACTGACTGGGCAGCCCTTCGACACAATGAAAGTAAAGATGCAGACGTTCCCTGAGCTGTACCGAGGCCTTACCGACTGCTGCCTGAAGACTTACTCCCAGGTGGGCTTCCGCGGCTTCTACAAGGGGACCAGCCCAGCACTCATCGCCAACATTGCTGAGAACTCCGTCCTCTTCATGTGCTACGGCTTCTGCCAGCAGGTGGTACGGAAAGTGGCTGGATTGGACAAGCAGGCAAAGCTGAGGTGAGTCAAGGACACACACTTTTTTTGTTTGTTTTTTAAAAAACACAAAACTGGCTAGGCATGGTGGCTCATGCTTGTAATCCCAGCACCTTGGGAGGCAAAGGCAAGAGAATGGCTTGAGGCTGGGAGTTCAAAACCAGCGTGGGCAACATAGCAAGATCCCTATCTCTACAAAAATCAGAAATTAAAATCTGGCCAGGCACAGTGGCTCACGCCTGTAGTCTTAGCACTTGGGAGGCCGAGGCGGTTGGATTGCCTGAGCTCAGGAGTTCGAGACCAGCCTGGGGAACACGGTGAAACCCCGTCTCTACTAAAAATACAAAAAATTAGCCAGGCATGGCGGCATGTGCCTGTAATCCCAGCTACTTAGGAGACTGAGACAGGACAATCGCTTGAACCGGGGAGGCAGAGGCTGCAGTGAGCCGAGATCCTGCCATTGCACTCCAGCCTGGGCAACAGAGCAAGACTCCGTCTCAAAAAAAAAAAAATAATAACAAAAAAAAATTTTTTTACTCTGTTGTATGGTGACAGTTTTACTGATGCCTTATGTGGAGGAACATTTCCTTTTTTTTTTAGTTTTTTTTTTTTCCTTTTTTTGTTGTTTTTAATTTAATTTTTTATTTTTTAAATATTTTCAGTCTTAGAACATTTCCTTTTTAAAAACATAACTGCTTTCCTTTTATTTATGAAGTTATACATTGCCATTATATAAAACTTGGAAACCACACGTGCAGTCCATGAAGGAGACCTGCTTATAATGCAGCACCGAGAACGAACTGTGCTTCTGTTTCCGTTTTCTTCAGGAGAATGCTGTTCAAATGCCGCTGGCAGTGCTACCTTTCATCAGCAGACACGCTGCACTAAAACCATAGATGCCGCTTGTGATCCAAGTTTTAGCCTTTCTTTCATAAGCAAAATGCAGAGAGCATTGGAAGAGTTTGAGCCAGATAGATTTGAGGAGGTTTAGGAAGGGTCAGAAATGTCTGAGAAGACGCCAGGGAATCCACCTTTCTCTGTACAGATCCCCCCAAAACATGAGACTTTGGCTCGTGCTTGGTCTTGCCTTGGGTGTTTCTTATATAGAGACTAAAGAGAATTTGGAAACCACTGGGATGCTTAGCTCTCCCTCCTTTGAACATTGATTTATTTTAAATCACGTAAAATTATGATATAAGCTTCAGGGTTGCAAAGGGCAGTCTCAGTTATTTCAGTAGGAGTTCGAAACCCGATTGCAGCTGCAGGACCCACACAACTGAATTTGGTTCCTTGCGTTCAGCAGTGTTCTCTGGAGGTGCCTGGAGGTCTGAGGGTGTGGCCTTTTATAGGCAGGAATTCCACCGTGATGGGTAGAGCGTGGTTTTTTTAAAGGCTTGGGACTGGATACGATTGCCCATGAAGACAGTATAGATAGCGAGGAGGGCTGAGCGTGGATGGGATGACCCTCCAGCACAGAAGGGGTAGGCAGGAAGGCAGTAAAGAAACGAGCAGGGCACAAACCAGGAGAGTGTGGCATGTCATGATGGAGACTGAACAGAAGCAAAACCACAGGCGACTGTAGTTTTGTTCCTTGTTGAAGGAGAGATACTCTATTAGAGAAGGCCTGGACTTGAGTTCACCTTTCTTGCAAAGGACAAAATGGGGAGAGAAGACAGGGAAGCGGTGAGCAGCCATGTGAGATTCTGGAGAAGACCTCTGTCCTCTGAGCAAAGCAGCCTCTCCCCCCACAGGATAGACAGTGACTTCGGTCTTGCATGAGTGAAACCATTGGGGATCTGGCCCTGCCTCCCCCTCCGCTTTCTTGTTTCCTTATCCTGTGAACAAAGTGAAGGACAGGTAAGAGCATATTGTTTTTCTGCTGAGAACAATCTAATACTTTATAGCTGCATTTCCCCACACTGCTTTCAGAACACTGAATTGCTGGGGTCCTTAAGAAAGGGTTGGGAAATACGTCACAGTGTCTCTCTCATGAAGAATCACTCTGGATACATTTATTTTATGTAATGTATGTGTTATTTAGTTCATTAACGATGCCTAAGACTGGGCACAGTGGCTCACGCCTGTAGTGTCAGCACTTCGAGAGACTGAGGTGGGCAGATTACTTGAGCCCAGGAGTTTGAGACCAACCTGGGCAACATGGCAAAAGCCTGTCTCTACAAAAACTACAAAACTTACCTGAGCGTGGTAGCACACGTCTGTGGTCCCAGCTACTGGAGAGGCTAAGGTGGGAGGATTGCTTGAGCTCAGAAGGCGGAGGTTGCAATGAGATGACGCCACTGCACTCTAGCTTGGGCAACAGAGGAAGACCCTGTCTCTCAAAAAAAAGATACTTGGATGTTTTGCAGTAAAGAAAGCATCCCGATTAACCTTATCTAATCCAGCACTCATGTTTTTTGAGCTTGGGGCCTTTTTTTTTTTTCATCCTGAGGAACAGTGTTTGCCTCTTACCTGTTGGGGAAATGCTCCCTTAGAGTCTACAAAGTTCTGACCTGTATATCGTGTCTCCATAGCCCTCACCGTGGTCCTGTGAGAGCAGCAAGGCAGATGTTACCTCTATCTTACGGATGGAGGAACTGAGGTGCTGATATTGACATGCCCATGGTCACCCAGCTAAGGACTTGAACTCGCGTCCTCTGAGCCCCTGCCCAGTTGCCTTTCCATCAGACCACAGTTGGGGGTCTGGAATATTTTGTAAGGGTCAGTTTTAGAGAGAAGATTAATCGGGAGCAGTGAAAGGAAGGAGCTGCTTGTGAGAGCCTGTGGTGAATTTCTGCAATCACATTGTAAATATTTGTCTGTTCCTGGTTTCAACATGTCCCAGAGTGTTGTTCTACTTTGATGTTTGGCTGGACAGGGTCTTACACAGCAGGATTGCTCAGGTACATGTTTGTTGAATAGATGACGAACGGATACTTCTTAGAAAAAAAATCCCATCCTATACCTATAACCATTGCAATTCCAGTTCTACACATTTATACTACATACAGAACCAGGGGCCCATGCACCTCATTCTGTGCACCAGTCGATGAAAGTATTCATTAGAAAGCCAAAGTCCACTGCATATCTGATTTTGCCGTGTCCTTGCACTATAATAATGTGCTTGCTGTTTGTTCGGATGTCTGAGCATTATTATATCTTAAACTCAGTAGACTTCTACATTTATTGACTGCCACCTTTGTCCTGGCAAACCTGGCAGACCCTGATTAATGCCCTTAATTGACTATTGCCTGTCAGCAGGTTAACAGAGTGTCCCTGAGGGAGGCCAACTGTGGATCTGAGGCTAGCTGAAAGACAGCAGAAACCATTTTAAGCTTTGGTTCTAACAGGCTGCTAAGGAGTGAAGTGGGGGGAAGGAATGGTCTGGACGGCATTGGATGGTTTCTACACCCCATAAAAGTGTGTGCAAGTACATTTGTGTATCTGGTTCTCCTTTGTTAATGGTTTTAGTCTTAATTCTCTAACATCAATAGGAAGTCCATACTGCAAGCCATGCCTTCCTCCTGAAAGAAACCCCTACTTCAAGCCAAGCCTTCTGAGAGACTTGGGTGTATCTGAGGCCAGCTCAGCCTCTGGGAAACCCCCCTTGCAGCTGGCCACGGCACAGAAGCTGGACCACCAGGGACTAGCAGACCAGGGCCAAAACTGGGGACTACCTTGATTTTATACTAATCTGTAACACTGGTAAAACTTCAGTACTCCTGAATATGGTAGCTCTGTCTGTACTTTGCTCACAGTTTAGAGAAAAATTGTTAGGGGATTATATATCTACCGAGGTAGTTAGCCGAGGAGATTCCCACCCACCCTTGGAGGTTTTTGGAAATCTGTGAGGGTGATCGTGGCTGTTGAGTGAGAGCATGATGCTGGCGTTGAATGGGTGTCAGGGAACCAGTTCAGTCCTTCCTGCCCAATGAAGGATTGTCCCAGCCCAAATACCAGTCATGATCCTGTGACACAAAACTCTTCTGTGGCTGGAAGTGATCTGTCTTGACTCCCATGAACCATGAACTCCCAGAGAAGTCTTTCTTCTGAAAAACTTCTCAGACTTTTCCCCATATTCTTTTTTGTTTTTTTTCTGAAACAGTCTCACTGTCACCCAGGAGTGTAGTAGCACAATCTCAGCTCACTGCAACCTCCACCTCCCCAGTTCAGGTACTTCTTGTGCCTCAGCCACCTGAGTAGCTGGGATTACAGGCATTCACCACCAAAAATACGCTAATTTTGTATTTTTAGTAGAGAAGAGGTTTTGCCATGTTGGCCAGACCTCAAGTGTTCTGCTCGCCTCGGCCTCCCAAAATGCTGGGATTACAGATATGAGCCATCGTGCCTGGCCTCCCCATATTCTTGAACTCTTACTGGATTCCAGTTTCACAGCCCTGCTGGTGACCTTTGGCTGGTGGTACCAAATCCATATGTGAGGTGGATGCTTCTGTTTTTGTATTTGTGTGCATTTATCCCTCTGCCTGGTGCAGATTTCCAGTTTAGCCATTTCACCTAATACCATCGAGCTTGCAGACTTGTACTGGCTTCACCCACTCCTGTGGCACCATTTTACCCTCTTCTGTGCTGCTGAGGTGGTTGGTCATCAGCTGAACTGGAAAATGTTTTTGTGATGCAGCAACTTTTGGTTAAAAGCTTACTCTGGGTTTTCATCTGTGGCAGTTAACATCGCACATCGGTTGCTCCAGGTTGGACTCTGGGCATGTAGGGATGGCCTTAGAACCTAGTTTTATTTAAAACTTAGAGCAAATGCAGTGAAGTATTAATAGTGCATGTTTTTCAGTGGGGGGTTATGGGTAATACTTTCCTCCTTTCCTTTAGGTTTTTTTGTGGAGTTTTATTTTGTCATGTCACGATATATCTTGGCTTTGGCTGCTGTAACAGAGTACTACAGACTGAGTGGCTTAAACAAACACTTCTCACAGTTCTAGGGGCTGAAAAGTCTAAGATCAGGGTTCCAGCAGATCTGCTATCTGGTGAGGGCTTGTTCTTCTTAATTTGAACGTAGCCATCTTCTCACTGTCCTCACATGGCAGAGAGTGAGCCAGCTCTCTGGCTTCTTCTTCTAAGGGCACTAATCCCATCACAGTGGCCCTACCCACATGACCTCATCTATACCTCATTACTTCCAAAGGCCCTGTCTCCTAACACCATCACCTTGGGGGGACAAAAGTCAGTCCATAGCGCCGTGTGTAATAAAAAGAATATGGATGTTGCCATCAGGAAGACCTGACTTCACATCCTAGCACTTGTACTTAGTAGCTGTGTGACTGGCCACATTGTGTGTCATCTCTGAGCGTCACTTCCCATAGGGAATTGGGGTACTGCTGTCTGCCTCACAGGGTTGTGGGATCCACAGATGAAACAGCACATGCAAGTTTCCTTCCTTTCATCATTTTCTTAGACACAGAGGTCTCTCTGTGTTGCCCAAGCTAGAATGCAGTGGCTGTTCACGATGCAATCACAGCACTGCAGTCTAGAACACCTGGGCTCAAGTGATCCTCCCACCTCAGCCTCCTGAGTAGCTGAAATCACAGGTTCATGCCCTGACGCCTGGCTCCTTACCCTGCATTATCACAAAAGTGCCATCCATGTGGTGAGTGCTAAAGGAATGAAGAAACTGAGGGGTAGCTGTCTGCTTGTGTGCTTTCAGTGATCTGCAGAACGCAGCTGCTGGTTCCTTTGCCTCTGCCTTTGCTGCACTGGTGCTCTGCCCCACAGAGCTCGTGAAGTGCCGGCTGCAGACCATGTACGAGATGGAGACATCAGGAAAGATAGCCAAAAGCCAGAAGTAAGTGCCACTCGGGCAAAAACGTCAGGTCTCTATTGCCCTAGTGTATTGGATGTTTTTTCATTTTATACTGTTGTAGATGTGGAAGCCGATTTATCTACTCCAAAATACTGTTTCTAGAAAGCTTTCCCATATCAGTCAGAGATTTTCTGAAAGGATTGTCTGTGATTGGACCTACCACCCATCTCCTAGAAAGTCTTAGACAGATATTTAACACCCCAGAACTGGAGAAGCCAGGAGCTTAATACCCTTTTGGCCTCTTGGAAACATAAGGCATGATCTTCAACCATTTTTGGAGGTAGATGGTGGGTGGCTTTTGAACTTGGCCTGAGACCTGAGCCTTCATAAGTGCCAATTTGGATTCTGAGATGAGTATTTGATGCTCACTCCCAGGTTTCACATGGGTATTCAGGCTGATTGCCCCAGATCCTAGAGGTAACTTTCCCTGCCCCGCTTACCCTTAGTCCTTCAAGTGCACCTGCAAAGTTCTGAGAACATTAATCAGTACCTTTGTAAGCAGAGCTATTCTTAAATCATTAAATCACTCTCTAGCTCAGTCTTGAAAACATTCTCATCCTCTGAGAGTGCTGTGTCATACACAATTTGATTTACTTGAATTGGAAAGTATTATCTTTATTAATTGCAAAACTTGCATATTTATCTTGACATCTAGCTGAGTTCTGAGCAAGGATATTGCTGTGGTTAACTCAAAGCCTATAAATCTGCTGGAAAAGATCAGTAGATAAAAATCAGTAGACCATTTTCAGGGATCAGTCCCCACTCAGTGAGAATGGGGTTGGAAGAGTGCCCTGTTTTCTGCACCCTTGAGATTCATTACAACCAACTTGAATCTAACATTCATTGCCTACAAGTCCAAGAGTGTAAGTCTTTAAAACTTCTTGTTGAAATATACACGTAGTATCATGAATGCACATGTAAGTCACAAGTATGCAGTTCTATAAATAGTGACACAATTTATGTGCCTTTGTAACCTGTGTCTGGATTAACAAATAGAAATTAACAGCACCCAGAAAGCTGCCCTCGTGTGCCTTGGAAGTAATTCAAGGTAATTAAAAGATAGTAATAGTTATATCCAAGGGACTCAGGCAGATGGATGCCTTGAATTATCAGTTGATTTTGTATTTGAGGTCTAGCAGTGTTCTCACAAGACATGGTATGGTAGCTTGGGGCTAAGACTTGGATTGGAAGGGAGGTTAATTGTGTTGCGCTGGATTACTTTGTTACGTTCCATGTAGCCATGCTACAGAAAGGGCTGGCTAATGGAGAATACCTGACAGCGCTTTCTGAAGCTCTCAGAAGGAAAGTAGTTATTAAACGTCTGTAGCCTTTATTACCTTGGGACTTGATCCTTTGTCTATCTGAGCCAAGTCCCCTGCTCTCTGAGAACAAAGTGGGGAGAGGGGGATTCATTAAGTTGCATGGACTGTGTGATTTCTTGGCCTGTTCTTAGCAGGGATAAAGCTGCCCCGGCAGCCCCGCAAAGTGTCCTGTGTTCCGGCTACTGCAGGAGCAGGGCTGTGATCTACTTAGAATTCTCCTGCATCCCTGCTGCTCTGAGAACTAAATTCTTGATGCTTCTGCGTGACAGGTGCTATAACTTGTTCTCAGAATTTGTCTTACCTTCAAATAACATTGACTCCTTCATTCATTTCTTTGCACTAAAACGAAACAAACCCTATAAACACCTGAACAGATTTCCCAAAAACACATCAGAAAGATTGAGGAAATAGGAATCACAGTGATAAGGGACCGGGCAATACAATACCATTTTATGCTTGCTGAGTTTAGACAACTCCTTATTATAAATAAATTGTAGTTTTCATATATCCACTACTGAAAAAATGTGTATTAGCTTTTATATCTTTGATAATCTGACTTGTAGAAACGTTGCCTCTATTTTAATAAAATTTCTTTACCAATAATTTAGGTGACAAAACTTGTTATAATTATGCCTCTCTGAGACATTTCGTTCCCACAGAAGATGGCTTTTAGTCTCAATTCCTGGCTCTTCATTTATAAAATCAGCTGCTTCCTTACTAGTGGTTGATCAGATCTGTGAATTGGTTGTAAATGCCCTTGTCCATTCTTCCTTCCCACCTGCTATAACTGAGTCTGTCTCTCTGTGTCTCCTAGTACCGTGTGGTCTGTCATCAAGAGTATCCTTAGGAAGGATGGCCCCTTGGGCTTCTACCATGGACTCTCAAGCACTTTACTTCGAGAAGTACCGGGCTATTTCTTCTTCTTCGGTGGCTATGAACTGAGCCGGTCATTTTTTGCATCAGGGAGATCAAAAGATGAACTAGGTAAATGTGTCTGCGCGACTGCGGTGGGTTATGATGGTGTCTGCTCCCTGAAGGTGTGGTTTCTGTGGACTCTGCTCGTTGCGCTCTCCTCCCCACATTGGTGGCTCCATCTGGCACAGGGAAGCTTCTGGATGCCAGAAGGTAACGTGTTGGCAGGCAGTGAATAGCACCCACCCTCCAGGCTTGATAATTTCCTTAGGACAGGGGTTGTAGCAGTACATCCCAAATTTCCTTACTGGAATAAAGTTTGTTAATTTTTCTGGATCTATTTTACGGGAGAAGTCGTCCAAAAATTACTTTCCCAATTGGGGAATCACCTATAAATAATCCTGAAATAAGCTTAAAACTCGACCATCTTAATAGTGTTTTGAGAGCAGTGAAAACCATAGTTCTTTGTAGCTTATCATGTTTAGCTGGTTGGTACAACTACATGCAATGTTGGGCTCACATAAGTGAGTGAGTTTTTATCATCATCTCCTTCAGTATGTTGAGTCTGTTCTGGGGTTAGTCAAGCTCCCAGACTTAACTGCTATGTTAATAAAAACAATTTTGGCTTTTAATGGTAAAGGAAGAATCAGGGCTATTAAAATACTTAAGAGTGAGAAAGTTGAAAAAGCCGTAGATTGTGTTTGGCCTGTCTTCTCCCTACTGGAAGGGGTTGCCACCCAGCTGGAGGCCTGCTGGTTTCCGTGGGCCAGCCCTCGACACCTCAGTGACCAAACTAAATATAATCCTCACTAGAGTTTCTTGTTCTTGGCAAGACCCAGGGGTAGACCTGGGCTACCAAACAAAACCTTGAATTCTTAGAGCTTGGTAACAAGAGCTTTGACAGCTTCCTCAAAGAACTGTATTCTGCAGCATTAGCATTTCTGTTTACACCCACCTGCAGCGATTACTACATTGACCTCTGGAAGTGTCACATCAGCTGTTCTTGAGACAAAATACCATTTGCTATTTTGTTTTTCTCTAGGCCCTGTGCCTTTGATGTTAAGTGGTGGAGTTGGTGGGATTTGCCTCTGGCTTGCGGTATACCCAGTGGATTGTATCAAATCCAGAATTCAAGTTCTTTCCATGTCTGGAAAACAGGCAGGATTTATTGGAACCTTTATAAATGTTGTGAAGAACGAAGGTGAGTAAACACCTGTTTTTCCAGCATCTAGTGTACATCTTAACATCTCAGATATGAACTTGTTTTGATTGTTAAAAGAAAGAGGACAGTAACACAGAAACTTTGTGTCTCAAATAGAGCACAGATACCTTGTGTATTACTCATTGTAGTAGACTCCCCTCTATTTGTATAACATGTAAAGTTTTACAAAGGACTTATACTTCCCTTATCTAATTCAATCTTCATAACCACCCTGGGCAGTACTAATACTATAAACAGGTCTCCAGCTTCAAGGTTAGTGCTCTTGTCACTGCCCAGATGAAACTGCAGAGCTGCTGCCACCTCCGTCTGGCCATCTCAGCCTCAACTCTGCCCCTCCATGTACCAAGAGTTAATCAAGCATGGAATTGGTGTATGTTACCTGAGCATCAGTCAGTTTTCCCAGGAGACCTGATGCTTGTCCTTGTTTTTGTTAGTCTATTTAGGGAAAGCTGGAAATGTGTCCTTCCATGACTTGGCTTTTAGCGCTGTTGTCTGGATTTGCATGTGTAAATATACCTGTGCTGTGCGGCTGCATGGGGATCCCCAAAGGAGGGATCCTTGCAGTCTTTTTGATTGCCCTTTTATCTTCTAGGAATAATGGCCTTATATTCCGGACTAAAGCCTACTATGATTCGAGCATTCCCTGCTAATGGAGCACTCTTTTTGGCCTACGAATATAGCAGGAAGTTGATGATGAGCCAGTTGGAAGCATACTGAAGTGTCCTGGTGGGGCTGAGCCAAGCACAGGTGTCCGAGGACTACAGTTCATCTCAGGGTTTCCTGGAGTACAAGATGAGCATGAAGTTATTCTGATTTCTTGAGAATTTTGCTTTTTGTCTTCCCTTCTACCCTACATCTTAAACTTTACGGAAGAACCTCTATTTTGCATCATACCGTTTCTGCCAAAAATTGTACTGAAATAGAAAAGTCACTGCTCTTGCCCTTGGTAAAACATAGAGTGGTCAGTAACCTTATACACCTAATTCAAAAGGCCGAATATAGTTCTGTCAGGGCTTTTACGTAAACCTCTACTTGTATATGCAATTTGGACAGTTATGTGTTGAGGGAAATACAGTTTGGTTCCATGTTTATTATTTCAAATATTATCAGAAAAACCCAGAGGTGATATTTCTCATGAAGATGCTTATAAATGGTTGTTTAACCCATTCTAGATGTAGGGTCTGCTTAATGTGTGTACTATTCTAAATGGTTGTTTTTTTGTTTTGTTTTGTTTTTGTTTTTGGATATGGAGTCTTGCTCAGTTGCCCAGGCTGGAGTGCAATGGCATGATCTCAGTTCACTGCAACCTTCATCTCCTGGGTTCAATTCTCTCACCTCAGCCTCCCGAGTAGCTGGGATTACAGGTATGTGCCACCATGGCCAGCTAAAATTTTTTTTTTTTTTTTTGAGACAGAGTCTCACACTGTCATCCGGACTGGAATGCAGTGGTGCGATCTCGGCTCACTGCAGCCTCCCCCTCCTAGGTTCAAGCGATTCTCCTGCCTCAAACTTCCCAAGTAGCTGGGATTACAGGTGCCCACCACCACAACCAGCTAATTTTTTGTATTTTTAGCAGAGACAGGGTTTTACTATGTTGGCCAGGCTGGTCTTGAACTCCTGAACTTGTGATCTGCCCGCCTCAGCCTCCCAAAGTGCTGGGATTACAGGCATGAGCCAACGCACCCAGCCCTTTTTTTTTGTTATTTTTTGTAGAGATGGGGTTTCACCATGTTGGCCAGGCTGGTCTTGAACTCCTGACCTCAAGTGATCCACCTGCCTCAGCCTCTCAAAGTGTTGCAATTACCAGTGTGAGCCACCATGCCTGGCCAGTGGTTGAATTTTTTAAAAAGTTCATGGGGTGCTTGAAAACTAAAATATCTATCTAGATTTGTAAGAAAGTCTACCTGCATACCAGTGTGGCTTCCACACTTGAGTAAAAGTTTCAGAGTAGGCATCCGAGATTTCTCCAGGATGCTCTACTCTTAAAATAGTGCCATTCATTTTCTAGGTGGGATCATATTCTACACTGACTATATTGCTAGGGGTGGCCTGGAGGGTCAGGCCTTTGGGAAACAGCATGGCCTTACCAGCTTCCCTTCTCCCCCAGAGAACTTCCCCTCTTGGGCTTTAGATTAAAGGGTGGTAGGCGGTACCAATGTGCTTTGATGAAAGACCCATGTGGCTAGCAACAGCTCTTACATTTTGTCCCTGGGTCCTGGCCTGGGTAGGATTCCTGGGTGTTCTGTTGGCTCATTTGGGGCCATCAATCCACTTTGGACCACTCACTGTCTGCTCTGCCTCCACCAATGAGAACGCCTTCCAAGGAACAGTGAGAGCCAAAGCCAAGAGAAGCCTTGTTCCCTGTTTGGTGATTGAGTGACAGTGGGTGAGATCCTCTCTGACAGAACTAGAAAGAACTCAGTACTCGTACTCCACAGTGAGTAATGGCAGAGCTGACTCATCCTGAAGCCCATCTTGCCATGCTTTTACAGTGTTGGAAGCTTCTGCATTTGGTACTGGCAGTCAGTTTTAATGATGACTGTATATGGGATGTGATTTACTTTTATAAAGCAATGGAGCATAAGAAAAGCCTTATGTATGTATTCAGTGACCAAAAATTCACTGACCAACCAACAAAACCCCATACTTCATCTGGTCCCCCATAGACTTGGGGATGGGCAGCTATTCTTTGGCCATATGGTATAAGAGGGTCATTCTTGTCATTACTGAAGTTAGTTTCATCCTTTTGTGCTGCTCTAAGACCAATAGGGTCTCTCCCAATAAAAAATATTCCTTAGCAGCCTGTAAACTGAGTGCAAGCAGGCTAACAATTTTAATAATAGTCCATACCATGTGTTTCTGTCAGCAGGATGTACATGTTGTGCAAAACCTCCAGGTTCCTTAAGGTTTTTGCTGTCCATGAATCTTCTATGACAACTGTAGCCACAAAGCCAGAAGCCAGAGGGTCAGGGATGTGAGAGGCTGACAAATAGTGGGGGACATCTAGGGAGGAGACCTCTGTCCTGTCATGTTTCTTGCGCTGCAGACAGCGATTACAGCTGGTCTTCTATTTGCTTTTTCTTTAAGAGAAAACCATTTTTCTACTTTACTTTTCTCCCCATACGTAAATGGTCAGTAGCTACTGACTGGTGCTTTTATCTGACCAGGCCTGGATTGAAGCAAAATAGAAATGGGACTGGCTTTCCACAGGAGTTAAACTGCTTCAGAGCCCACAGTCCCATGCTCAGTGCCCAGAAACTAGCCTGTTATCAGGAAATCTTCCCACAGGCCGTCCATCAGAGATTTCACTAGACATCTTCAATAGAAATAGTCTGAGGCAAGTGGAAGTGGGGAATGGGAGAATTTTTTTTTTCATCCTGTTTGCTTAATTCAGGGTACAGTTTGTGCCATTTCGTATCTGTACTCCAGGCAAAAATATAACTTGAAAATACTGTGTCTAAAGAAATTTCAGTGTTCTATCATCATTAAATTATTTACTTAATATTTGAGTCTGATGAATTTCGTTTAAGTTCTTTACATCCATGATGGGAACCAACTGTCAGGAATGTTACAGAGTTCTGTACAGCAGTGTTTCAAGGCAGTGGTTTTATATTGCAATAAGCATTGCTTTTTGTCAGCAAGACACCTGATGTAAAATAATTTCACTATAGGTAAGGTAGCAAAAACATTTCTGTGCACTGCAGTTACAGAACTTGGCCCACTAGAATTACTTTCTCCCTCTACCTCTTTCTATCCCTCTATTTATAACAATAAACTCTGCTCTTAAGTTTTGGATGATTCTATTCCAAGTTAGTAAATTCTACTTAAGAAAACAAGTATCTGAGGCGCCAAGATGGCTGACCAGAAGCAGCTGGTGTGCGCAGCTCTCCCAGAAGGAGACAGAGTGGTGAATGAACACGAGCTCTTCAGGTTGATCATCCCACAGGCTGTGTTGGGATTCATCAAGGAAGCAGTGGTGACTCATGGCCAGCAGAGGGGAGGAAGGCAAGACAGCTGCCCACCTGGGATTGGTGCAGAGCAAGGGGAGGCTCCCTATAGCAGGGAAAGGGTGAGTGAATGAAGGCTTCTGGGGACCCACACTTCTGCCATGGACCATTGCAATCCCCTGGCACAGGAGGTCCTCCATGACTCCACCCACCCCCCACAGAGAACTACTTGGAGTCTGGGCAGAGCCACTGCTCAAGCCAATGTGGATCCCTGAGAAGCCCAGCACCAGCTGCCATAGCCTAACCAGCAAGGTAGGCCAGGTCTCTTGTGTGCCCCTAGGATAGGGGCCATATCCATGGTGCTGAGGAGTGGACAGACTGCAGGCCTCACCTCTGCCGCACCTTGCCAGGCAAGGCCCACTGACCTGGGCCTCCATCGCAGCCATCCTACCCACCTGAACACTGCAGCTGGTCACAGCCTTCATTTCTCTGGGATGGAGCTCCAAGGGGTAACCAACAGGCCCTCTGCACTGCTGCAGCCTGTGCTGCTGCTGCCCTCAGGCTGGAGAGGGAGCAAAAAGCCCAACAGCTGTTATAGGCCTCCAGCACACCACAGCTGCCACTTGGAAAGGCAGCCAGACCGTTTTCCACACAAGTCCCTGGCCCTGCTGCTCCTCATTGGGCACGGTGCTTCCTGGCTTGGGCCCAGCACAGGTCCTGCCTGATCACTTCAGTTGGTGGTGGCTCTGTGTTTCTCTGGGATAGAGCTCCAGAGACAACTGACAGGCCTCAGCCATTGCTGCCACCACAGTACCCGCCCTTGTTTCCTCCAGGCTAGGGAGGGAATAAAGATGATTACTTTCTCACAGCATCCTACAGAAAGGAGGTCAGACTTCTGGATCGGGTTGCTTGACCACCTGCTCTTCGGGCAGGACCCCCAGCTTGCGGCCAGCAGCACATTGCCCCAACCCTGGCTGATCACTCCAATTGGCTGTGGTTTTGCACTTATCTGGGGTAGAGTCTCCAGAGGCAACTGACAGGCCCTCTGCCATTGCCACTGCTGGGGTCCCACCCCTGCTCTCCCTAAACTGAGGAGGGAACAAAAAGCCTAAGCCTGCAAGATTGCAGCTTGGGAGTGCCAAGGCGAGATCTGTAGCAGGCACTAGAGCAGGAGAAGAGCCCACACTCAGTACTGAGAGGACTGAGTTACATGAACTTGTGGGCTACCACAGCAGTGGGCGTGCCTCCCTCTGCAGGGCCAGCTGGCTGGAAAACGGGTGGCCTATCTCCCTACCACAGCCTTGACAAAAGAGACATGGGCACAGTGCCATTGGTTGGAAGGGACTCCCCCAGGGCCCAGGAGCGGACCTGATGAGGTGGTCACCTCTCTTCCCACTGTACCGCAAAGCACAGCCACAAACACCAGGAAATACAAAGGCGTTATGTGGCTAAGATCCATCTACCCACCATTACTCTTAAGCGCCATCTACTGGAATTCCACCCAAACTACAAAAATAGTTTACTAAGACCTTCCTGTAAAACCCAGGTAAGAATTCAACCACAAAGACCATGCACAGAGCCTTGGCCCTCAGAAAACACGAAGAAATGCAGCCAACTGACTATACTCAACTTACACCACAGTTAAAGGAATACCAACCCTCTCAGATGAGAAGAAATCAGCACAAGAACTCTGGCAATTCAAAAAGCCAGAGTGTCTCCTTACCTCCAGTTATTACTCCACTAGCTCCCTAGCAATGGTTCTTAGCCAGTTGGAAATGTCTGAAGTGACAGATGTAGAAAACAGAATCTGGATGGCAAGGAAGCTCATCAAGATTCAGAAGAAAGTTGGAAACTAATCCAAGGATTCCAGCAAAGTCATCCAAGAGCTGAAAGATGAAATAGCCATTTTAAGAAAGAACAAACTGAACTTCTATAGCTGAAAAATTCACTATAAGAATTTTATCATAAAATTGGAAGTATTAACAGCAGAACGGACTAAGCTGAGGAAAGAATCTCAGAGTTCTTCTAACCAACTCAGACAAAAAAGAAGAATTTTAAAACATGAGCAAAACTTCAGAGAAATATGGGATTATGTAAAGAGACCAAGCCTATGACTCACTGGCATTCCTGAGAGAAAAGGAGAGAGAATAAACAACTTGGAAAATACATTTGAGGATACAGTTCATGTAACTTTCCCTGATCTTGCTAGAAAGGTTGACATGTAAATCCAAGCAATGCAGGGAACCCAAGTTAGATACTATATAAGATGATCATCCTCAGGGCACATAGTCATCAGATTCACCATGGTCAAAGCAAAAGGAAAAAATCTTAAAAGAAGCAGAAGAGAAGGGCCAGGTTATTCATATGGGAAACACCAACAGGCTGGCAACAGACCTTTCAGCAGAAACCTCACAAGCCAGAAGAGATTGGGGATCTGTTTTCAGTGTCCTTAAAGAAAACAAAGTCCAATTAAGAATTTCATATCCCACCAAAAAGCTTCTTAAGTGATGGATAAATAAAATCCTCAGAGAAACAAACACTGAGGGAATTCATTTCAACTGGACCAGACATATACAAGATCCTTTAAAAAGTGCTAAACATGGAACTGAAATAACCTGTTACCACAAAAATACATTTACGCACATAGCCTGTAGGCAATACAGAGCAACCACACAAGTCTATACAACAACCAACTAACAACGACAGGATAAAAATCTCACATCAATACTAACCCTGAATGTGAACAGGCTAAACACCCCACTCAAAAGACAAAAAGTGACAGCCTAGGTCAAAAGACAAGACTCAACCGTCTGCTGTTTTCAAGAAACCTACCTCATTCCTAACGACATCCACAGGCTGAAAGTAAAGGGATGGAGAAAGATCTATCACGCAAATGGAAAACAAAAAAGAGCAGGAGTCATTATTCTTATGTTATTCTTATTTTTTTGAGATGGAGTCTTGCTCTGTCACCCAGGCTGGAGTGTAGTGGCACCATCTCGACTCACTGCAACCTCCACCTCCCGGGTTCAAACGATTCTCCTGCCTCAGCCTCCTAAGTAGCTGGGACTACAGGAGCCGGCCACCATGCCTGGCTAATTTTTGTATTTTTAGTAGAGACGGGGGTTTCACCATGTTGGCCAGGCTGGTCTCGAACTCCTGACCTTGTGATCTGCCTGCCTTGGCCTCCCAAAGTGCTGGGATTACAGGTGTGAGCCACTGTGCCCAGCGATAAAACATTTTTAAACAATAAAAATTAAAGACAAGGGCAATATAGAATGATAAAGGGCACAATCCAACCAGAAGACTTAGCCTAAATATGCACACACCCAACATTGGAGCACCTAAATTCATAAAACAAGTTTTTTCCTGGCCTACAAAAAGATTTAGACAACCACACAATAATAGCAGGAGACTTCAACACCCCACTGACAGCAATAGACGGATCATTTATGTAAAAAACTAACAAACTCTGTACTTACACTTGACAGTTGACCAAATGGACCTGTTAGACATCTACAGAACACTTTACCCAGCAAACACAGAAGATATATCCTCATGTGCACACAGAACATATTCTAGGATCAACCACATGCTTGGCCACAAAGCAAGCCTCAATAAACTCAAAAAGTTTGAAATCATACCAAGCATACACTCTGACCATAGTGTGACAAAAACAGAAATCAGTATCAAGATCTTTCAAAACTACACCAATACATGGAAATTAAATAATTTGCCCCTGAATAACTCCTGGGTGAACATTTAAATTAAGGCAGAGGAGAACGCGGCTGCGAGGACTTCGGATCCGGCTCCTGATATGCAGCAACAGAATTTTCAGCCCCGACTCCTCCTTACCCTGGTCCAGGTGGAGGAGGTTGAGGTAGCGGAAGCAACTTGCAGGGTAACCCGGGTGGGGGCGGACCACGGCCGCCCTCTCCTTGAGATGGATACCGGAGTCCGCACCACAGGCCTCCGAAGGGCCCGGTCTAGGCCCCTACGGGAGCAGCCACTCTGCGACACGACTGCAGCTTCCCGGGGGCCTGGTTCGGGTCTCCGTACCCTGGCGGCTACCCTGGCTCCTACTCCAGGTCCCCCTCAGGGTCCCAGCAGCAATTCGGCGACTCCTCAGGGCAGCAGCAGACCCACCCCCAGCGTTCACCAATGAAATCCGCAGCATTTGGATCCCGGCGTATTAGAGAAAACAGAATGCCTAATGAGTTGGAAAATTATTTCAAGCCGTCAATGCTTGAAGATCCTTGGGCAGGCCTAGAACCACTATCTGTAGTTTAGATAAGCCAACAATACAGCAATACTCAAACATTCACAGGCAAAAAAGGAAGATACTTTTGTTAACTTTTCTAAATTCAGTTGGAAGCTTCGTGTGTTAGGAACATCGTGGACAAAATTTTAACTTGTGTTGATATAAATTTACCCAAAGATGATGACTTTGATTGGATAATTAGTAAGGTCTCTTTGTTATTTTTCATCATATCGGGTACCGTTCTGTTGATATTAGAGAAAAAAAGTAGGATAATTTGCAACATTTAGCCTTGGAAGTACCTACCACATTTTAGAGATTTACAGTTTCCATATATTTAACATTCCTGGTTATATAATTGACATTTGTCTTTTAATGTTTTTTCAATGTTTTAAAATAAAACATTTTGTCTTCTAGCTAAAAAAAAAAAAGAAAAAAGAAAAGAAAAAAAAATACAATAAAGGCAGAAATAAAAAATTCTTTGAAGTTAATGAAAATAGGAACACAAGATATCAAAATCTCCAGGATGCAGCTAAAGCAGTGTTAAAAGTTTCTAGCACTAAATGCCTTCATCAAGAAGTTAGAAATATCTCAAATTAACATTCCTACTTTGCGCTTAGGGAAACAGAAAAAAAAGAATAAACCAGCCCCAAAGCTGGCAGAAGAGGATAACTAAAATTAGAGAAGCACTGAACGAAGTGCTTTTTGAAATGCTGTTTTTGTTGTTGTTGTTCTTGTTCTTGTTTTTGAGTCTAGGTGCAAAAATCGACACAAAAGATCAATGAAACCAATAATCATTATTTTTTTAAATTGATAGACTGCTAGCTAAAGAAAGAAAAAAGTAGAAGAGCCAAATACGTACAATTAGAAATGACAAAGATGACATTACAACCAATCCCACAGAAATACAAAAGATCCTCAGAGAATACTGTAAACAACTCTATGCACACAAATTAGATAATCTAGAGGAAATGGATAAATTCCTGGAAACATATAATCTCTCCAGATTAAATCAGAAAGAGATCGAAACCTTGAATAGACAAATATCGAGCTCTGAAATCATATAATTAATAAAAAATCTACCAACAAGGAAAAGCCCTGGACCAGATGGAGCCGCAGCTGAATTCTACCAGATGTACAAACAACTGGTACTAATTCTACTGAAACTATTCCAAAGAATGAGGATGGGCCAGGCGTGGTGGCTCACACCTGTAATCCAAGCACTTTGGAGGCCAAGGCGGGTGGATCACCTGAGGTCGGGAGTTCAAGACCAGCCTGACCAACATGGTGAAACCCCATCTTAAAAAAAATAAAAAATAAATAAAATAAATAAAATAAAGAAGAATTGAGGCTGAGGGGCTCCTTTCTAACTCATTCTATGAAGCCAACATCAGCCTAATACCAAAATCTGGCAGAGATGAACACAAAAAGAAAACCTCAGGCCAATTACTTTCATGAACACAGACACAAAAATTCTTAACAAAATACTAGGAAACGGAATCCAGCAGCACATCAATAAGTTCATACACCACAATCAAGAAGGCTTCAGTCCACAGATGCAAGGCTGGTTCAACATATGCAAATCAATAAATGTGATTTACCACATAAACAGAACTAAAAGCAAAAAACATATGATCATCTCAATAGATGTAGAAACAGCTTTTGATAAAAGCTGACATCCCTTCACATTAAAAACCTCAACAGACTAGGCATCAAAGGAACATACCTCAAAATAATAAGAGCCAACTATGATAAACCCATAGCCCCAGCCTACTGAGTCGGCAAAGCCTGGAACCAATCCCCATGAGAAATGAAATGAGACAATGATGCCCAGCCCAGTCTTACCACTCCTATTCAACATAGTACTGGAAGTCCTACCCAGAGCCCTCAGGCAGAAGAAAGAAAGAAAAGGCATCCAAATAGGAAGTGAAGTCAAACGATCTCTCTTTGCTGGTGATATGATTCTATACCCAGAAAACCCTAAAGACTCTGCCAAAAGGCCACTAGATCTGATAAACAACTTCAGTAAAGTTTCAGGATAAAAAAAATCAATGTACAAAAGTCAACAGCATTTCTATACACCAATGATGTCCAGGCTGAGAGTCAAATCAAGAACAGAATTCCATTTACAATGGCCACAAAGAAAATGAAATACCTAGGAATACAGCTAACAAAGGATGTGAAAGATCTCTACAAGAACTACAAAACACTGCTGAAAGAAATCAGAGGTAACAATTAAATGGAAAAACATTCCATGCTCATGGATTGGAAGAATCAATATTGTTCAAATGGCCATACTGCCCAAAGCAATTTACAGATTCAGTGCTATTTCTATCAAACTACCAACGTCATTCTTCACAGAATTAGGAAAAACTATTCTAAAATTCATATGAAACCAAAAAAGAGCCTGCATAGCCAAAGCAAATCTAAGCAAAAAGGGCAAAGCCAGAGGCTTCAAACTATAAGGTAGCCAAAACAGCACAGAACAAAAGCAGACACAGGCCAATGGAACAGAATAGAAAACTCAGAATAAAGGCTTACACTTACAACCATCTGATCTCTGACAAGGCTGACAAAAACAAGCAATGGGGGAAGGACTCCTTATTCAATAGTTCAATACATGGTGCGGGGGGAACTGGCTAACTATAAGCAGAATAATGATTCTGGACCCATACCTTTCATCCCATACAAAAATTAACTGGAGACAGATTAAAGATTTAAATGTAAGACCTCAAATGATAAGGCAGCTGGACTTTGTAACCAACCTTGCTCAAGTGACAGGTCAACCTCATGACTTCAGACCCTATGACCCCCTCCCAGCTTGCAAAAACTGCCCTGAGCTGTAGCTTCTTTAACTTTCCACTGCCTACCCCAAACCTATAAAACCAACTCCTATCCCTTCACCCTCCACTGACTCTCTCTTCAGACTCAGCCCTCCCGCACCCGGGTGAATAAACAGCCATGTTGCTCACACAAAGCCTGCTTGGAGGGTTTCTTCATTCAGAGCACACTTAACAATTCTGATATATTATAAGTCTCTTGGGATGTTCAAAGAATCATTCATTCTGCATTTGAAGAAAGCAATGCCCAAAGAGGCCTTAAACAGGTTTTCTTTGAATAAGCAAAAGCAGAATAGTGTGACAACTCATAATTTCCAAATTTTGGTGGGTCTTGGAGGTTTGGGGAAGAGAAACCTTAATGGTAACCTCTTTATTTCAAAAAGTGAAATTCTTAAAATAAAAAAGGGGGTTTCCTTCCTTCCTGTATTGCTGGTATTGAAAAAGACAGATCTTACTCTTCACTGAGCCAGCTAAGTATTTTCCTCCCTATTCACCTAACCCAGGACATCATCTACCCTCTGTAGATTATTGCTGTGTGAATTTTAAATGAAATAGTACAACCTATGTTGTGCCTACACGTGTTTCTGTAATATGAACGGCAGGGTATAATATTAACATGAAAGGAATGTGAAAGCATGTTCTATGATCTTTTCCTCAAAGGGGGAGCCAGATTAGGGGGAGTAAAGGAAAAAGGCTTTAGTTGGGCTGCTGCACGGGCAGTTGGAACCTTTTTTGGAATATTTAGAGGAGAAAAAAAATCACCTGCAGCTAGGCTGCTCACCGGCCTCATGGGGCTCTCAACCCCTGGCAGGTTGCTGCCTTCCATGCCCACCATGGCTCAAGGCTCTACTCTCATCTGTGCCACTCTGGTACCCACAGCCCTTATATATTGTTCCATTTCTACTCAAAAATAAAAAAGGTCCTATGGAGAACTCCAAACACTGAGGTGCTGACATGGGTGATCCAAGTGGTTAGTGTGTTGGTTACAAAGCTGCTATGCCAGAGTGGTTTGCCTTGACCTCCCAAGCCCTATATTTTCATGAACTGCTTCTTTTTTTAGTGTTTTCTGTAGAATGCAAGGTTTTTCAGGAATGACATATCATGTTTTAGCAGTGACATTTGACTTATTAGTTGCTACCTTTCATTTTCTGATGAATTCATCTTGGTCTAGATTGTTGAGAGCCTTGCTAATAAAAGGAAAATCATTCAAATAATTTCAATAAAGCCAAAATAGAAATTTTTCAAGGACAGTCATGGCCTGAGGATACAGTGGCAATGAAGGTACTTTGAATAACACCTACAGGCTGGGCGTGGTGGCTCATGCCTGTAATCCCAGCACTTTGGGAGGCTGGGGCAGGCAAATTGCTTGAGTTCAGGAATTTGAGACCAGCCTGGGCAACATGGCGAAACCTCGTCTCTACTAAAAATACAAAAAATCAGCTGGGTGTGGTGGCATGTGCCTATAGTCCGAGTTACTCGGGAGGCTGAGGTGGGAGAATCATCTGAGCCTGGGAGGTTGAGGTTGCAGTGAGCCAAGATCACACCACTGCACTCCAGTCTTGACAACCAGAGTGAGACCCTGTCTCAAAACATAAAAAATAAAAATAAAAAATTTGTTAAAAAAACAAGTAGCACCTGGCACCAAAGAGGAAATAATAATGATTTCCTGTAGACATGTTGCTAACTAGTGTTAATAATTAGAAAATTACCTCCCTTCAGAGTGTTAGGTGAAGTTGGTTGTGAACAGGACTGGTGGATTTCAAAATAACAGTACGCCTAGATTACTCTAAGAACAAATATTTCTTTTGATTTCACTTACAATTTTATACAAAAGCAGAACTTACTGAAGATTACCTATCCTTCATATTTACCACAATCTTCTTATCCCAACCCCGTGTCTGTGTGGAATTAAAAGAAATTTGTGAAGTAAGCTACCCATTTAGTACTTGGATTGAGAGAAGAGTGTGTGTTGGGAGCTAGGGGACTGCTGTGTGAAACATTTCCCTCTTCTGGATTTAAAGTCTGCCGCCAATCTGTTAACAGACAGTTTGTAAATGAAGTAGAAGAAAAAAATATAAATTAGCTTTCTCATAAATCTCAGACTACAAATGTGAAACAAAGCAGGGAATAAATACTTGATCAAAAATATCTAAGTAAGTGGGTGTTGGGGAATCACAATTTTTAAATATCTCAATTATTTTGATATGAAAGTTCTATTTCAAAATTCTTCAAAATGATGCCTAACGTTTCTGTGTACTCTGTTCCAAATTTATGTAAATACAAGATGGAAACTGAAGTATATGCCTTCAAAAAAGAAAAAAACACACTGACGTTTTATCTATATATATTTAATAGATTTATCAAGAACATATGTAAACATATATAAACATAGATATATCAGCAGGGAAGACTTAGAACGTAAAAATATGTGGCGGGGGTTGGAAGAAACATAATTCTTTCCCAGAAGGGGAAGGGGGGACTATTCTTAATCAGCTACAACTTCACTGTAAGTCATTTCTCCTCAAAAATTATCTCCACTGCAAATTCCGGTGGGTAAATTTTCCATGTTTTTTGTTTATGTGGATTATCCAACTCATTTCTTGGTAGATAAAGCCTAAGAATAGAAAAAAAAAAAAACTGCATTTGATATTGGGGCTAACTGAAAAGCCATGCAGTTGGGCGCCCTTGTTAGAGCTTGACAAACAAAAAAAGAACCTCACCGTGAATAGAACCTCAGCCCCTTTTTTGTGTCTCCATTGTCTCCTTCCATCATTTTCGTGAGACTTAAAAATACTTTAATCTTCAGCAACACATCAGTAACGCATGCTGATTCTTTTAACATTGCTTTTAATGGAATTAGTTTAATATTTTATTAAACCCAGGTTTAATAAAATATCTAAATTTCTGTATGTGACAAAAATCAGTCAGGCTAGACATGAATGAAAACACAGTAATAAAATACCGTATCTCTTTTAATTCATGTGTGAGGTTGTAATTTTTTGAATTTTTGCAATCAGACCTTGGAGATGACCTGGAGCAGAAGGATCTAACTCCCACATGCTTAGTGTTCCAATAATGGAGCACTAGGAATAAATTGGTTAACCCCTTTGTGCCTAGTGTTTTAAATGATAGAAGTTGGCATTTTTGGCTAAACAACAATCTCATAACTAACAAAAACAGCTTTACCATTTAAATGTTACAGAAATCTTTAGAAATTTGCATAAAAGTGAGGGTAAAAGTGACCTTACTGCTTCTCCAAATGAACATGGTGTTTTAAAGGAAAAAAAACTGTATCCTTTAGCAAGAATCACTTTTGAGAAATAGCGTCAAATGAAAGTCCACCCAGCTCTCACTATTTGAGGGACTCTGCTCATGTTATAAGAAAAAGCTTATTGTTTGTATGCATCCAAGAAAAAAATTTGTAAAAACTTTCCATCAAATCCAAAGTTCACACTATCAAAATCCATTAAATGTGTATGCATTACAAGTGTGTAGACCAGAGATTTAATTTAGCGTTGCCTTGCTGGACTTAAGGAGTTATTAGCTCCAGTTCACATTTGAAGAAAAGATTAGGACTGGCTATAATAATAACTATCAATTCATGCCATTTAATCGTAGCCATTTCTACAGCTCTGACCTAAATCATTTAAAAAATATTTTATCCTTTTGTATTGAGGGTATGGTTGATACCAAAAAACTCAAAATTTTCACCACCATAGAACAAATGCTACATATAGTGGAGAACTTCTAGACTGAGAAATGAGTTTCCAAATATGGCAGAAGGTTTTTTGGAACAATAATCTCTAAATCCAATTAATAATTATGCAGAAAGTTTTCCCAATTCAGTTATTAGAAAGCCACATTTAAATGGGAGGCTATTACTTAATAGTATTTTTAGGTGATTCCTTAATACTTACTGTGTCTTGTAACTTCTCCTAGATATAAGTGTATCAGTCAGCTTTTCAGCTAGCCGAAGCCTCCCTAGGTCCTGCCTTACTTTAGCACATAATTTGGTGGTGGTTCGTCATTGGTAAATCAGCACCTATTAAAGACCTGACATGATGAAGGTACCGAGCAGACTCATACCGAACTTCTCTGGGAGGAATTTACTGCCATACTTAAGAACTGATTATAATACTTTTGAACTCATAACACAGTCCTATGGCATGGACCTTGAGGATGCTGCAACAGTGGGTCTCAAGAACAAAC